CGGACTATAAGTTGCAGTATTATATTTTTCATATTTTGGCCTGTCCTGCAACTAGTCTGTTGTGACTATACGTTTTTTTTCCCTATTCATGATGCAATTTTTAACTGACTCGTTAAACGTTCATTCACTAGGCTCTTGACAACTATAGGTTGTTCCTCTACCGCTAGACCTCCACCCCCAAGAAATATAAAAAACATTCACTCAGACACAACTGAGAAAAACTTAACACAAGTAAAATGCCCCCAAAAGTGATGTGGATTGAGATTTTCTCCTCCCTGGCTCTCATCGAGGTGGCTGCTTCTGTCTTTCCTCCCCCGTTTTTCCTTCCTCCTGCTCTGCTCTCTGTGTGTCTGAAGTGCCTGGTTCACATCTCCGGAACATAAATTAAGAAGATTATGGATTTGGTATCGTGGGCGTTCAACTCTATTGACAAGATTTTTTCATCAAAGCAACAAGGTCCTGGAGAACCGGCGTGTCCAGCTGAGACTCACGCTGTGGGGTACGTCATGGATCCGTGGGGAGTGTGGCAGCTGATGTGCCTCTCAGTTCTGTCTCAGGAGGATGTTGAAGACGTTTACATATTTGGAATTATGATAACAGGGACTCTGCTTTTTGGCATCGGCGGGGCTCTGTTTTATCGACGTTTGAAGAAGACATCGGCAGCACTTTCGGCCATGGAAAAGCTTCCGAGTCAGTGTGAAGGTTTGGTCCGTGCAGTAGGAACTTTAAATCATCTGGTTTACGAGCTAAACCATAAGGTGGAGGCGATTTATGAGAATCGCAGACAACCTGCGGCTTCTGGGACTCGTCAGCCTGGTGGGTTCGACCTTGAAGGAGACTTATAGCATGGATCAGTGGATGGAAACACACAATTAGGCATTTTCGGAACCAGAACACCCAGATGGACTCAAGGCTGGAAAAAAGTAATCTCTGCCTGAAGAAAACCAAGAATCAAGCTTATCTGAATCTGACTCCCCGACGGCCTCGGAGACGGGCCGACTATCAAATTTCTCCTGGGACATGGGTAACCAAGGACAAAAGCTTCATCTATCGCACCCCCCCGAGAACTTTCTGTGCAGAATTATCAGAACTGCTGGCTGGAACAACATCTTCAGAAACTGTGGCTGATCTGAGAAACGCTCATGGACAAATCTCAACACCTCAATGTCAAATGCAAATGTAATCATGTTTTAATTGTGCTGCTGGTAGAGTTTTTTTTTTTTTGTCTCAAATCGTGTCCTGATAGACAAGATGTGAAAGATCTTTTTTTGTAATACCACTAATATTATTCTGAATAAGAATAAGAAAAGGCCGCGCTATAGTAGCAGCTTCGTGCACTCCGCCCATCTTTCGGACGACAGTACGTACATGTGCGCGTTGTATCTCGGTGCAATGACAATAAAGTTTATTCTGATTCTGATTGGTGAATTCACCGGTAACTTGCTTGTCGGACTCGTTGGCTTGTTGTGTTCATTAAGGCTGTTCAGGAACCCAGGTATGTTTTATGTGTTATTGTTATTTCAGATTAAATGTCTGCTCTTGCACTTTGTGAAATACACTTGTAAATAAATGCGACTTATCCTCCGAAGCGACTTATAGTCCAGAAAATACGGTACTTGATATACCGTGCACATGAACTCAGGATTGTTGAGGGAGGAAATTGATGCCTTGGATTTGTATTACTTTGATAAGTCACTTGTGTATTACACACCGGTGGCAGATTCCACAGCCCTGTCTACATATCTGTAATTATTAGCAAACTTATACATGTAGTCACATCTATTATGTGCGTTTTAGAAGACTGCATTGTCTCTTAGTTTTAATTGACTTATGGGATGTGTAACAGGGACTTGTCATCAGAGATCTGGGAGCTGCAGCCCCTTCAGAGCCTTAAAACAATCTGCCACGTTTGGCATAATGTCCAAAGTGAACTGGTGTAAATATGTTAGATTTTTTTTGGTACCAGTCAGCATCTTTGCAGTTGCATCTTTACGACGCAGGTGAGTTATTTATATTTCAAGACCTTATCTGGAATAAGCTAAAAAGTGTCAAACCAAAGCATTGATTACTACAGAAGAATAAAAATCAGAAAAACATACAAAGCCAACGAGATGCGTCACGGAAATTCTAAATATATATTTAGTTTTATTTGGAAATAATGAATTCAGATTTAACATTAAGATTGATCAACATGATCAGGAACAGTATTGTGGATGTTGAGGGGCTGGGTCCATGTAAAACAGAACAGGACTTTCAAATGAAATGAAAAACGTCATGTTCAATTCTGGTTAACAGACAACGCTTTTCCTTTGAGTGTCCAACAGATGGCAATGTCCATTCATAAAAAAACATTTAAAAAAAACCCAGTTTAATCAGGTAAAACAAACTTATAAAAATTTGAGCAGATTATTTTAAATATAGATGGTGTAACTTTTGGAAATAATCCAATCTTACTGAGCTGAAAGAAATTAAATAGCTCAGAAAAATTGAACTTTTGACACTGAATAAAGAGATAAGTACATCACAATGGAAGAAGTTTGAAACATTTTGTTGAAAAGGCCCAGTGATGCCGTCATTGGCAGGATTTTTTTTTAGCACTCAGAGCTCCCTGACAGTTTATCACATGCAACAGTGGTAATCTTTTTAATTACCAAGGTGCTCATTATAATCCGAGGTATACCTGCTGCTCGTTAGGAGTCCTGCTCATTAACCTCACCGCAGCAACTGCTGTCCCAAATGAGAAGCAAAACACACACAGCCCTCAGGTCCTCAACAAATTACCGTAGTTTTCAGACTTTAAGGTGCACTTAAAATCCTTTAATTTTCTCAAAAATCGACAGTGAGCCTTGTAATCCGGTGAGCATTATGGATTAATTCTGGTTGTGCTTACTGACCTGAACCGATTTTATGCAGTTATTGTGAATGAGTTGAATAAAGTTCGACTTCAGTTTCGCTTAATGAAACTTATAATTCGAAAAATACAAGAAGCTGAAATCAAATTAAAAGAACTACTGCAGCTATTTATTTTGAGAGAAACATTTATTGCTCAAGTTTATACAAACACAGTGAGTGAAACCTTATGAGGTAAAAACAGAGGCCGTTACAAATTGACACATTTGATCGTGTTTATGATGGTTTGTAATGTGCAGCTTGAGGTTTGTAAAACATCAGTTTCACAGGAACATGAGTTGGCACACAGCTGCGTACAGTGAACTATCATTTTCCATCACAACCATTAACTGGTAACATTTCCCTTCAAGGACAGGAATTGGGCTTAAAATGGGAATGCCCATAAATATTTCACAATTCAAACTAGTGCTTTAACTTCTTGATTAAAAAAAAGGAAAGTTTACAGCTTTAGAAGTGGATTCAGTGGAAAAGTTATCGCAAGTATGTTGTTGAACATTCTTTAAATAAACCAGTATGAAAAAAAATGAAAAAAGGTTTAATTCTGACTGTTTGGGATAATTTCCTTTTTCCATGTAGATCATACATCAACATATGGTCCAAGAGAAAAAGTGGCCCTGGAACAATCTCCATCTAGCCCAACTGTAAAGAATGTAACTTGTTGATGAAAACATGCATTTTATTAATGAAGCTTAAGGAAATCTAAATTAAATATTATTAAACATACATCTAAAACTTTTGGATTAAGATGTGCCAAAACAATTTTCCCCCTAGTAATTCATTGCATTTCCAGAACTAGACTGAATCTTAAAAGACTGAAAAAATGCAGCCATAACATTTTTCTCTGCATGTTTTAACATGTGCTACAAAAAAGCCAGTTTAAGGAAATGTTTTATAAACATACGGTGGGGAAACATTTTTACCATGCATGCCAACTATGCTTAAAAAAAATAAATAAAAAAAAAAGGAGAAATGTCTTCTAGATTATCCATCTTTAAGAAAATGCATTTTCCAAATTACTTCGCAGCCCTTTGACCGCTTTAAATTACTATTTGGCCGACTGGAAACAAAATGTTGCCCACCTGGTGTCAATTAAGTCATTTCTAGAAACAGTGCCATCTTTATAAAGATCCTTTTTAGAAATGACAAAAGTACCGTTTTGGAAAAAGACTGTTTCTGTGTGAACAAGACCCACAACAGGGAAGATGCTTACAAGGTTTCCACAGAACCCCATTTAAAAAAAAAAAAAAAAAAAAAAAAAAAAAAGACCAGAACCATCCCTTTAAGGTGGTTTTAAATGTGCCTAATCGGTGCTTTAAGAAGTCAACGGGCCAGTGTAAGAAAATTTTAATGCCTTTGGTGTCAAACATTTTACATTTCAACACTAAACAGTCACATTCTTACAAGACTACAAATAAATCAAGCATGTAAACCATGTTAGGTGGAGAAGTACCGATCTCACAACAGTTAGTGTAACTTATAGGAACATTTACAATAAACATGGAATACAGAGGCACAAATGACAGAAATCTGACCAGAAATAATAATAATAATAAAAAACCACAAATAAGACCCTTGTGACCCAAAATGGAAAAAGCGGGTAAAAGATAATGGATGGAAAATCGCAAAAAAAAACCAAAACCCGACAGTATTCTTCCAGACAACACGTGCAGTGATGTAAAATAACGACTTGGGGGGGGGGGGGGACACAGAAACTACATTAACAACCCCCCACCCCCCCCCCAAAACAAAAAACAAAAAAGAAAACCCCATTCAGTTCAATACATGTGATTAACACCACCTCACCAAATATAAAAAACAACCACCCACATTTCTAGGGATCAAGATAAAACGACTTGAACAGAATGTTGGTGTGCTCTTCAGTCTTCCATCTTCTACAGTATATGCAAGTTGAGGCACTTGAGAAGAATACGATTGTACTTCATGTAGTGTACGCACGCCGATAACTCAAACTCCATCCAGAAAGGGCAGGCGCTTCACCTCACAGACCTAAAAACTGGCTCAAACCAGCTCATCTTCAAGCCACAAACTTATCGTGCTAAAGTTTAAAAGCAATCTCCTCCTTTCACACAAATGAGAGCAAATATCCTAAAAGGAGCTCAGTGCACTCAATTATTGACTCACAATCTGAATGAGTTCTTCGGGGTCTGACGATCTGGAGGAAATCGGCTGGACCTGCATCCTCTGGCACTGGTCTAACAGTATTCAAGTAAGACTACTGAGGATGGTTGGAAAACTCCCTATTGTGTAATTCTCCAAGTGTCCAACTCACACATGATTAATTCAGACATCTCCTAAAAATCTATAGAAAAGACAGAAAAGCAGCTTGTGCAGAGTTATGAGTTGTCCCTTAAAATATAACCATGAAACGCTTAGTAAAAAATGTAACTTAGTCTGATTACATGTACAACTAGCACTGCTACATTTGATTTAAAGGGAAACAAACATAAATAATATTCACAGTCAGACATCATTTAGTGAGTTTTCGGCTCAAGTCTTCCAAAATGACGAAAACCTTACACACACACGTCAAATATTCACAAAGTATCCTCCTGGACCCCTGGTCCCACAGTCATACTTCACGGATGGCCCCTCTGATCCACAGTCTGGAGACTGGTGCTGAAGCTTAAGGCAGGCTGGCAATGTCCCGCTTCGGAGGAGGTCCATCTGGCTTGCAGGGGGTGCCGTTGGCTTTATCTTCAAAAATTAAAACTCTGTGAAGAGAAAGAGAACCATAAATGAAAAGTCAAATACAAACGGCAATGTTTTACGTACATCCATATGTGACACAACGTATTTAAGGTTTGAGCTTGTACATGGTCGGTAAAGAAGATGGTGTCTTTGCTAGAGACCCCAAAGCTGTGGAACAGTCTGACATTCTGGATCAAGTGTCCCCTCTGTTAAAAGGTTTTAGCCTAAGACACATTTAGTTTATTTGACTTTGCAGTAATTGTCATTTTGCTTCCTTTTGATGCAGTTTTTCTGGACTTCTGAGCAACAAAACCTTCTTTGAGTGAACTTTGTTCAACACTGCTTGACGATAACTGATTTGGATTTATTGCTAGTTGTGTACATTTTAGACAATAAAATATACTTTTTTCACTTCATTTTACTACTTACTACCGCTAACCACAAGGGGTTGAAGGACTACATAATGTTTAAACTCGACATTAACATAATAAAACTAGAGTAGAACTCGAGTAGTTGATGACATCATAGGATCTCAAGATGAAAAAATAAAACCACAAAAAAGACATCATTTATTATTTACAAAAAAAAAAACAAAAAAAAAAAACATTGGGAGCATATATTATGCTCCTACCATTTGTCATACTGCAAATAAGTCACAGGAAAAACTAAACTATTAGTTATTATTATTAAACTGCAAACGTGAAAGAAAAAACGTGCAGCACGTCAAAAACGAAACTAAAAAACAGTGGCAGGGTCGACCACCCCGCACCACCGCCAGCTGCGGTGCGCATTAGGTTTAGTTTTAGAGATTAATATGTTTATAGGTTTTTTTTTTAATAGGTTTAGAGATTAATATTTTTTGATTTTAGTTTGTGAAACAAGGTCAGAAGGAAGCTGGTCCTGGTTCGGTCATTGGACCCAGTGTTGCATCATATTCTGTTCAGTGCATGCAACACCGCCCCCTACAGTCACAATATACAGTGGACACAGAATATGGTATAACACCCGTTCGTGCTCCAAACAGTCATGAAGTTGATTGATTTTCTGTTTCCTTACGGTAGTTGAACCGGAAGATTCATCTTTAGTGAAATAATTCCATACTACTGATGCATTTCTACCTGTTTGCCAAGACTGGGCCTGCTCCACTCAGTCCATCTGCTGGGAGGAATCCATTTGGTAGCTTCTACTAGTAGCCCGGTGCGGATCACGTGACACAATGACATCACAGCGAATACTCAATATGAAATTTAAAAACTCGATAGATGTCCTAGGAATCAACCTGTTGATTACTCGAGTAGTCTGTTAAAGCCCTACTTACCACTGCTTCCCACTGTTTACTACAGCTTCCCACCGCTTACTACAGCTTCCCACCGCTTACTACAGCTTCCCACCGCTTACTACAGCTTCCCACCGCTTACTACCGGGCGGCTGTGGCTGAGTGGTTAGAGCAGTCATCCTTCAATGCAAGAGTTGGGGGTTCGAATCTACCAGCAGTCACATGTCGAAGTGTCTCTGGGCAAGACACTGAACCCCTCATAGCCTCTTATGTGTGTCCCATCAGTGTATGAATGATCTAAAACACTGATTAGTCTCTTTAGAATTATTTGTTCAGTTAGCTTTGTATACATCTAGTAGAGTGCTGTATGAATGTGTAAATGAGGACACAGATTGTAGTGTAAAGCGCTTTGAGTATCTTGAAATAAGATAGAAAGGTGCTACAAGTACAGTCCATTTACCATTTACTACCGCTTACCACCGATTACCACTACTTACAACCACAACAACCACACCACCAAGACCACTACCACCAACACCTCCAACACCACCACCAACACCACCACCACTTTAATTATAAAGCCCTTTAAAACAACCACAGCTGCAACAAAGTTCTGTACACATAAAATCAAGAAAGTTTAAATACATAAAAAATAAAACAGCTGTTAAAACATTAAGATCAATAAAAACAATAAACAAACATCAAATTCAGTGTGTGTTAAAAACCAGGGAGTAAAAATGTGTTTTAAGAGTTTTAAACATGGACAGTGAAGGGGCTCGTCTGACAAGAGGGAGGTCGTTCCATAATCTTGGAGCAGCTACAAATAAAGCTCTGTCCCCTGATTAAAAAGAATAATAAAATACTGATGAAAAAAGAACACGATAGAAACTAACATATTTTTAAAAACCAAATGGAAATATTGTTCATCTATGATGCTTTGCACAAAATTATTTTACCAATTTCTACAAAATTTAAATTTGGATCAATTTTTATATCATAAAATTAAGTAACTCAATGAGTAACATGGAAAATTGAAGGCAAATTAGAGCAATTGAAAAAAAAAAAAGGAGGTGTTTAAAAACAGTACACTGATTAAAACATAAAGCCATATTTAGTCTGTTAGAAGTGAAAGGGATTTGGGAGTGGGCGGGTAGTTAGTGGTTTATACTATCTGACAGGAGCTATTTAGAGCAAATGCCTGTCTTTAATTTCCTTTTCAGGAAAACTCTGAAGCTCCCCTAAGCTCATAAGAACCAATGATCCCACTGAGGAATCACATAGGAACTACAACACGCAGGCAAACACTTTCACTTGATTTTGTTTCCCTCTCCCTCCTTAGTGCAGATGGCTGACCCAGTGTGATCACAACTGATGGATTGGCTGCTGTTTTGCAAGGTACACAGTGTTGGCTATGCAGTACACACAAAAGCTGACCAAAGTACTAATCAGTACCAGGATGTACTCACAAAGAGTGATATAGTGCAGCACATGCTTGGGCCTTGTTACTTGTTTCTACTTGTAGCCTCAGTTGTCATTTAAAAGCCTGTGTGATCAAACTACAAGAACCGTGTCTGCTGCCCAAATACTAACCGAGCACAACTGTAGAGCCTGACCTAAATAGTTTTTCCTCTAATGGAGACAACAAACACAACCAAACAACCAACCAACCAACCAACCAACCAACCAACCAACCAACCAACCAACCAACCAACCAACCAACACAAAATATATTCTTGCCCTGTGGAAAGGCTGTGAAGAAGTGAAGAACAATGTTCTACTTCATGTGCATTGATGAGGTGTGAAACTAGTTCCAAAACAAAAAGAGTCCAGTGGTGCATCACTTTCCTGGTTAAAATTATGTTAATAAACAGCACTTATGAAATGTGGAGATTATCTGCCTGGACTCCTACCAAGTGGACAAGATTAGCAGGAGGAAATGAAACAGTTATAAATAGCATGCTGTGGGATTACAGGATACACTTTCAAAATGACTGAAGGTAAAGTAGGAAAAGTTTAGCATTCTGCTAAATTTTGCTGGGATTATGGGATTTGTCTGTGGTCTGGCTAGCTCAGCTCAGGCAGCAGCCACGCCGACTCCGGCTCCTGCAGGCTGACCCAGTGCAAGCTGCTTTAAAGGCTTACAGCAGCTCCATTAACCCATTACACAACATGTACAAAACAGGTTCCTTATGCACCAGGAATTACTTAAAAAGCAACAACACATAGCCAAAAGATATCCATTTTCATTTTAGAGGATGAAATCACTGATGGACTTTGTTTTTCTTTAGCGCTTCATTACTATTCCTCGTTAATCAGCCTATAATCAGTTACATAAGCTCATGATCCAAGATAAAGATGAGGTAATCTATGGATAGGCTGTGTAAATGGGTTTCCATGGTGATTGATGTAGTCAGTGTGCAGTGACATCACTGCTCATCACCCCTGACCTCCCTGCTGATGGATAAATCAGCAGGTTCACAACAACCTCCCTCTCACGTATATGAACGTAGAAAATGAACCAGATGACTGGTTACAGCCTGTAGGCATGCAAAATGTATAAAAACATTCACTTACAGTTTGAGCACAGCGGAGCGCTTGCCCAGCATCATTTTGACAAAGTCTCTGTAGTTGATAGTGTTGCTGCTGTCGCCGGTCACCTCAACCATCATTTTCTTTAACTCCAAATGCGTCTTGGGCACCCCCAACTTCTCCATCATCCGCTTCATTCCCATCATATCTGTCACAAAGTGAAGGTAACAGTGGCATCAATAAAAATAAAAAAAAAAGGCAGAAGATAATTTACTATGCTAACTTGTGAGATTACTGCATAACAAAACAAAGTATTAATTAACTTAAGTTTTCCTGAAGTATTTTCTCTTATTTATGACACATGGGCATTTGTATAAGTTTTATAGTAAAGCATCAAATGGAGGCAGAAGCATAGTTTTCTTTACATAACTGGGTGAAACTATCTTGTTAAACTTTTTTGGGAGGAAAAAAAAGGCTTAAACAATCTGATTAATAAATTAAATATGCTACTGTGCATTTTTCAGCATCGTTAGTGTTGCATTAGTGGTGTAGGTGACATTAATTACAACTTTAATTAGCTGCAAATCCACAACTCTGTTTGACCAAACAAAATGTGATCCATGATTCTGCAGGAGGACGATGAACCTCCATGAGGTCATTATTAAGAACAAGGGATGAGCCACTCTCCTCATCTCAATGTTATGTTGCATCACTTTGTTCTCCAGACAGGAGTTATGCAGGCACAAAAAAACAAAAAACAAAAAAAAAAAACAACAAACAAAACAAGAATAAATAAATGCATTTAAAAAAAGTCTACCAGAGGACTGCCACCAATCACTCTTTTTAGGGCACCACTACTTTGAAATAAGTGTTTGCAAAAAACTATAAGCGTAATCATGCTTATCAATTAAATGAACAGCTTACTGCAAGCTTTCTAGGCTAACAACATGGCTAATTAACTAGCTAACATCAGCCTGTCAGGCTCCGAACATTTCTTTGATAAGAACAGAACAGAAACCAGTTCCATTCTGTTCAATAATTACCAGAGACCTGGGAGTTTCGAAGGTCTACTGCATTTCCTCTTTGGTATTTCTTGAGATTCCGCTGCCTTTTATCAATTATTTTACATTCACAATTCAAAATTCTCAGTGTTTAATAATAATAATAAAAAAAAATCAAATCAGTGGCATTAATTGCGAGCATAAAGCAGTATTAATACACATATCTGTGATCTCAAACCCAGAGTGGACAAGTAATCAACAGCTGCCCCACTTTGCCTTGTTGAAATACAACAGACATAAAATTTCATTAAATTGATTAGCTGCTGCAAATTCTGCATAATGTGCGACTAAGTCTTTTTAGAGGAGCAGCTGACTCATGACTGATTAGCATATGCTGCCATATGTCATCCCTAAACAGCAGTGGGGCACCTGACAGACAGTCGCACACTCCCATGCTGGAGGACCTTTCATCAGTCTTTCTAGGATTTCTTGGAAAGAGGGAATCGTAGAATATTTTGATCTGAAACAAGAAAAATAACTTTTCAGGAGTGTCTGTCTTTTTATGACCGTACATTTCACCTCACGCCTACTCTGGTCCAAATTACAGACTACATCGAGGACAGGACCATGACACACGAGTCTGTTTAGGTCCTGTGGCCAGACAAACCTACAGTATTAATTACAGCTCCCTCCTGTCAACACGGGTCAGCTGTGCTGACAGGAGGGAGCTGCAGTGCAGCTGGTGTTCTCATGCTGGTTATTACTCACCAATCTCTCCTTCATCATTTAAGTCAAACTCAGCGTATTTATCTGCAAAACAAACACAAAGAGGTTCTTACTTACAGTGGAAACTCGTCCTCACCCTGCACACCCCACATCCTCAAGTAAAAACAGTATCCAGCAAGGATCTGACACGTCAGCAAAACACTCCACAAAGACATCAGCCTTAAACTCTGCTGACAGCAAGAGACTCAAAGGAAGAGCTAAAAGCAGCCGACAATGAAGAGCTTTTCCTGTATGATTTAAACGCAGACAGATACACAGCTGTGATGTTTCTGACATTTGATTAAATATTTTACTAACACACACAAAAAAATGAAAGTGATCCTTCTAGATTTGCAATCTTGAGACAAGTGACCACTAGAGGTTGCAAAGCAGATCTCAAACATTTGGAAAAACTAATCTGCAAGATGCGAGCATCAAATTTAAGATTCATGAGGCTTTAAAAACATTTTCTTTTGACACTTATATAATCACTTTGCTGTTTTAGTTAGTTTTAAACAAATTGTATTGAGTTTTGAAAAATTCTAAATTCGTTTTAAATGTTAATTAGAAAACCACTAATTTTATATTGCACAAAAATAAAAGGAGTCTTTCCCTTTTGAAAACAAATACCGGCAGTTCTTTCCCACTTAAAGCAAAGACTGAACAAATCTGTTCTGTAAAATATTTTGAGTAAAAAATGTGGCTGTCTGGCAAAACTGAAGATAAAACATTAAGCTTCACGAAAGCAAACCATCTCAAGTCTTATAAAATAAAGGCTGCATGCCAGATTTAGTGTTTGTATGAAGTAAAATAGATTTATATCCATAAATACAACTGAAAAGCTCATTGTGTGATTTTTTATGAAGCAGTCACTATTGTGATCCATTTTTCTTCTGTATGTGTTTCGACATGATTCTCATCCTGCAGTTTTCAAGCAGCATATATCAAAACATGCAGCTCTTTCAGGACGATCCTGCTATGACTTGGTATTGGCACAACTTTAGCTTTTTGAAATATTTAGCCTTTTCTGACATTTTTTCCCCTCATAGAAAATGAATAGAGCTCATTTTACATCCTTCAAATCTTCAGATCCGTTTACAACCTTCGACCGCTCCTCTCACATGTTGGTCTGGTTCAGCTTCTTTCAGCTTCCTTGTGCAAATTTAAAATTTTTTCCAGCTACTTTCAGCTAATTTCAGCCATTTTTTTTTTTCTAATTTCAACTTTTTTCCCAGATAATTTCCACATTTTTGTGCCCATTTCTTTTCCTTTCAGCCTAATTGGGCAAACATATGTTCTTTCTGCTTTCTTATACTAATTTAAAGCTTGTTCTACTTTTTCAGCTACCTTTTTTTTAGCATGTTTTAGCTAATTTAAACAGTTTTTAGATCAATTCACATTTTTAAAATGGTAATTTCTGCTACTTTTTAGCCTAATGAACTTCTTTCTGCCAATTTCAGCTTGTTATATTATATCATAAGTGCTTAGTGTATCCTTAGCAGGTTTCTTAGATCCGATTACTGTTTTTCTTAACATTTTATACGTTTGTTGGATGTAAATGGGACCCTGTGTACACAGTTTCGTTCCACCACATGTGGTGTGTATGACAAATAAAAATAAACTTTGACTTGTGCTCCTTTTAGCTTATTTCTACTAGTTTCAGCTACTATTTAGCTGTTTTATGCTAAATTTAGCTTTTGCAGCCAATTCCACATTCTTTGAGCTCATTTTAGCTCCTTATGCTTCCTTCTAGTAGTTTTAAGCTACTTTCATCTTTTTTAAAAATTTTGCTAATTTCAGCTTTTTAGCTACTTTCCTAAATTTTTTGCTAATTTCTGCTTATTTAAACCTAATTCAGCAAAATGTGTTCAGTTTCCTTCTGCTAAATTAGGCTTGTTCATCCATTTCAGCATGTTTTTAGCTAATTTCAGCTGTTTTTCAGCAAGCTCTTCTGCCACAAGTATGCACATTGCATTTTCACAGCAAATGAAATTTCTCTAGTTTTAAACAGCATTTGTGTTTACTTAAAAAAAAAAAAACACATTTCCCACAAAATTGAAGTGATTGCTTTGAGTAAAGAGAACCGTTATCCTTCACCTCCTTTCCTCTTTTCTGTAGTAGAGCCCTTTAGTCAGATTACATTGGCTATTTCTGTCCCACAATGGAAGCTCTGTGTGTTTAGGATGGGACAGAGGGGGAGTGGGACAGGACAATGCCCACCCTGTTCAAAAACTCTTAGGAGTGGGCCTCCATGCAGACAAACAACTATTTGAGAAGACCACTTGTTGCAGTGCAGCCTGTTGATCATCTGCAGCCATGGAACATGTCTTGAAGGAACGAGCCTTGAAAACTTTCCTTCTGATCCAGATTCTTTCATTAACAAAACTGCATCAGATTTGAAGCAAATAATAAATATATTTTAATAAACAGCATGCAACTAACTCGGGTATTTTGATTTTATTCGAGTCACTGGTTGGCAGCTTTTTTGATCAGCATCTTCAGAGGCAGTCATCTGAAGGGGCTTTCCCATTTTAAAGAGAATCGCTGGTAAAGTAACTTCAAGTGTATGGCAACACCAGTGACTTCCGCTTGTTGTTTTAGCCACAAGAACATTTCCCAGTCATGGATCCTCATGAGAACAGCTTCAAAACAGGGATCTGTTCATCCAGATAAACATCATGAATTACATTCTTCTTCCTGCTAAGACCGGCTAAAACAAGATCTGTATTTCTATGTTATCACAAAGTTAAGCACAAGTATTTTAAAACAGAAACCGAGTGCTGCATTTTATTTTTAGCGTTGAACACAAACATCTCAATGTCATTATTCAATTTAATAAATTCACCTGACAATGATCTTATCTTCCCCCTGACAACTTTGATGTAACAAGTCATATAAAGTTACATTATTCTCTTGTGCATGCTCATTAATCTGGTCTCAAAGGCCAATAATGCCATTCAAATATTTATTTCATGATCCTTACATAAAAATAAAATAAAAAATCCTATTATAAGTGGTTCCAATAATTACAATCACCTCACCAGAAAAGTTTAGTTTAGGTGGATGGAGGATCCAATTGTCAAATCTCAGATTCAGAAGGAGCAGCGTGGTTTTTGTCTTGATTGTGAAACATCTTCACAATTGCAGAGTTTTTAAGGAGGTCAGGGGAGTTGACTATCCAGTCTTCATATGTTTTGTGTCTCTGGAGAAGGTTTACGACAGTTTCCTAAGGCTGGACTATCTACATTGCAGCCCTCATTTAGGGTCATGAGTTACAGATCAAGACCCCAAAAATGATATCGCCAGTTCAAGCGATGGAAATGGGCTTCCTCCGATGGGTGGCCACTGGTCAGGCTCAGAGTAGAGCTGCTGCTCCTCTGCATCAAAAGGGTGGGGTGGTTTGGGAATTAAATTTAAAACTACCTTTAAGGGCTGAACAATTTTGGAAAATATTCTAATTGTGATTTATTTGTTTTTTTAACCTCCATATTGCAATTGCAATTTAATATAAGATTATTTTTCAATGTCTTCTTCTCATGTATTTTTTAACGAACACAAGCAATCAATCTGTTTCTGTAGCAATAAAACTCCACAGTTTTCAGCTCCGCTGCAACTCTGTTTCTGCATTTTTTTGTGTAGCTCCGTCCGGGATAGCAACTTGTCTAAAATGTGTGAGCGAGGTCATTCTGTACCGCTTATCCATTGTGTTTACCAACGCTGTAAACCCAGGCTTGGTCACTATATTAATGGGCGTCATGTCTTTCTCTATGAACTCCGTTATTGCTCGAGTCATTTCCATGTGCCATTTCAAATCATGTTCATACAGAGTAATAGCTTCGAACAGTTCTGTCTGTGATCCCGGTCAGCTGGTACTTGGCTTAAGTTGAAGCACTGGTCGTTGGCACTCTAGCCATGTAACCATCATAAATGGCTTTGTGGTGTTTTTTAAGTGTTGATAAAGATTTGTGGTGTTACCTTGAGAGGTAGCAACAGCAGTAAGGCAGGTTCTGCACAATACAGATTGTTGTGCAGCGTCTTTTTTTTTTTAATAGCCAAAATAATTCCAAACAACGGACGTGCTGCCGCTCTTTGATACCAAACTTTCAGATGCATCAGCTTCTGTCTAGCCTGATGCCACTGTGCAACCGGTTAAAGAGTAGTGTTGACTTCTTCTGCTCCTTGCGCTGCTTTCCTCCGCTCACTCGCACGTGACATAACCAGATCACGTGACCAGTCGAATTGCAGCCTTTGCGATTACAAAATCTCATTTTATCATATCGCGATATTATCGCAAATACAATTAATTGTTCAGCCCCACTACCTTTTGTAGGTTTTCAGGGGCCTGTCCCATTTGAAGGAGAACCTGGGGATGTCTCAAAACTCACTGAAGGGATATGTATCCCATCTTGTCTGGGAATGCCTCAGAAGCTGCCTCTTGACCAGGCTGTGATTGTAAATGAGAACTGGTTGTTAATTGCCCTACCTGGTTAAATAAATCAAGGTGTTTTTCTGGGAAGGACCTGTTGCAACAGCAACCTGACCATCAACAAGCAGCAGAAAAATGGATCACAAAACTAGTTTGCAATCACTTGTTCCAGTATTAGAGGCTCTGAAGTAAACTTTAGATTCTAACACAATTAGCTCAAAGTGTTAAAAATAATGACCACAAGATCTGATTAAAAATTATTCACAGTTTGGGTTATGGCCAAAACCCACAAATCAATCAAATCAACTAAATCATTTACAGAGTTCATCCAATTAATGAATAATAAAAAAAACGTGCTGCAATATACATCAGACAAGATAAATACTGATGTAAATCAGTCAATAAATAAGTAGGAATACTGAGCTCTGGGTCACTAGGACAGGCTGAGGGGGAAAATGAGGAAAAGCACAGCAAGCCTCACAGGATCTGGTTGCCTGACCTCTTTCTGTTTATAAATTATTGCTCCATTTCCTCCAGCAAGCCTACACTAAGTAGGACACTGTAGCATTTTTCTGATTTTCAAGATTTGCACCCCTTGTTAGAATAAACAGCCATATGTCACTCTGTCGTGAACATAACAGAAAACTACACTTGACAATCTTAAAATCCATTTCTTTTAGACAGCTGGGAAAGGAAAAGTACTTGCAAACTGTGAAACTATTTTACTGTAATTAGTTTGCAACAATATTTTCTCAGCTCCCAGGAGCTTCGCAGTTTACTCAGCCAGGTTCTGAATAGTGAAACAACAAGCGGAGGAACGCCCCAGCACATTCCTCTCGGGCCACGGAGGACGTGGCCCTGCAAACATTTTAGAAATCAAAGCAGTCCATGTTTCCCACAGACAAAAACAAAATGCTCATGACTAAAACGTTTATGTGGGTGAGCAGTTTGCAACAAAAAAAATGCTAAAAGTGGAACAAAAAAACAATGCGCACTCAAAAAGACAATGAGGTTGGTAGATAACGAGGCAAACGAGGAGAAAACTGGATTTACTCACTCTTCAAGCCTTCCAGTTTTTCCGCAAGGCCCTCCTCATCTCTGTATTTCTGGTCCTCCAGGTATTCCTGAGAAGGATGAAGAGGACACTGATGAAACTGAAAACAGGGTTTTCACAGTATCCTGATGCGTGCTCAATAATCCAGGTAGAAAAATCTAGGAAAAAGTTAAGTTTGGTCCTTTAGATATAAATATAATAAAGATTTTTTTAAAAAGGTAGAAACGTTTTGTCTTTCATCTGAAATCATCAATCAGTCTTTCTGTCCAGACTTAACTTTTTTAGAGGCTTTTCACAGGTTTTGAAGACAGTAAAGTTTCTGCCCAGCTGAAGGAATGCACATCACCCACCTCTTTTTTGTGCCGTTTTATTCTAAGATCCTCTTCCGTTGAGCAATGATAAGAGTTAGCATCAAAGTTCATGCTTGATAATCCAAGTAAAAGAATCCAACAAAGTCAGGTCCTCTGGACGGTTTCTCTTTGATGAAACTTCCAGCAGTTCGAGGAGCCACAACAAACTCAGTCATAGGTCATTTTCACACCTGATAGTCCGGTAGACTCGGTTCGATTGGGGAACAATATTCAGAACATTCATTTACATTTTCAGCCTGTGTGGTTTGCATTAAAACTGCACTAAGTCGATCGAGCCAGCCTGTCCCCCCCCCGCCTGTGGTGGCACTGCACCAAGAACTACTGAAGGAAACAACATGAAAACCTCTGAAGAAGACACTGAGCACTGGAAATAAAACCTAAAATGGAGTAGAGTCAAATTTGAGTGGTTTTAGGATTTCTGTTTTGTCTGTGGCTCATGTGCCAAACAAACATTTTCCAACAATGGACTCAGCATGAGCAGAAGACCATGGAGAATGTTTTTCCACACAAGGCGGCTGAGACGGCTCTGAATGAGATATGAGAAATGCACATTTGTTTTGGTTGCATTTACACAGAATTTCATGGTCCACTTCCTGCTGTTGGAGCGGTCTCTGGTCCGCTTGCATTCACAATGCATTCGAACCGTGTCAGAGTTCACTTAAAACAGAGACCTAGATTTTTAGGCGGACCAGAGTTCACTTTTTTGGTCCGCATCAGAGTTCAATTGCGCAGTCACACTTCCCCAAAGAAACCGGACTTTCTAGGCAAACGGACTAGAGTTTGATTAAAGTGGACTAAACAGGGCTGGTGTGAATGCACCCTTAAATGCACCTTCACATCAACCAGTTTGATATCGATAAGATGGTTTCTGGTGTCCGCCCTTTGCCCTGCCGAGGCAGCCATGGCCAAAGTGGTTCAAAACATCAAATTTCATGCGCAATAAGTTTGTTGTGGCTCCTCGGACTGATGAAGTTTCAACAAAAAGAAACCGTCCAGAGGACTTGACTTAACTTTGTTGGATGGAGTTAACATTTTTATTCATATCTTTGTAAAAAAAGAAAAACATTTTGGAAAATACCATGTGATTCTACAAAATCCAAGTTTGTGTTAGGGATGAACCTCAACTACTACCACACTAACTTGGAGCCCAATATCTGTAACTTTCACTTGAGTTTAGGGTTAAGGTCATTAAGCGGTGATGGCCTTCTTGAATATGGTCTTAATTTAATCAGTTAGATGTTCAAACGATTACTCTCCAAGAGTTTAAAGTTAATCCACTAGTTAAAGATATTTTGTTTAACAAACATGCCCCACACCCACACGAGGGAAACATTATCGCCCACAGAGATTCTTGAAACTCCAGCAGAGTTACTCCAGGTAAAACCAAAGAAGGAAGTACATTCTCATCAAGTATTTAAGTATCAAGGTGTCCTGTCCAAATGCTAAATCTGAAATGTGATGCAACATAATTATTCAATGTTGGCCTCTCCAAATCATTACGCAGTCAATGACTTCACTAACTGGAACACCTCACAGGGGAGGAGAGGAGCCTGAAGGTACTCTGGTGAAACTATAATGATGCAATATGTTGGGTGAGAGTCAATACACAGAGGATTGTTTTAAACATTTCTGTCAAACACATTGCCATTTCTTAACTTGGGGCTTCTTAGTTATAGCAAAAATTCTGAGAGCTTATCATGAGCAAAACTTCGTCTTTAAAATTATAAAGGCGATTATTAAACTAAGAAAGAGTCCAAGTATTTGAATGTCCAGAGGACCAGATTTAACTTTTTTTAGAGTTTAAGTATGTTCCCCTCATATAGGCTTTTTTAAATTTATTTTTTTTTTTTTTTTTTTTCAAATTTAAAAGCAACACAATGATAAACAGCTGAAATGCTTTCACATAAGAACTCTATCACCTTAGGTGAACTAAACACAACTACCTGTAGACAGGGAGGAAGTTTGAACTTCAAGCAAGTTTGATTTCCCTCGTATTACTTGCAGCAAGGCTGACATTTTAACAAATAAATGCATCTTTTAGTTTCATCACAATGTTGATTTAAGCATGGTTATGTGACAGTTCCTTACAAATGATTAAGCCCGACACTCAGACAGGGTTTAGACTTTAATAACCGCTAATGCACTTCTGTTTAAATCGGTGGAATGAAATTAATTGTATGTGTGCAAAATTGCTGAATGTGTAGATCCACCCCAAGGACCAGGGGTCATCTCACTTCCTACTGCTCTAATGAACAAAATGCTAACAGATTACTGCTACGATAAGGAGGGCTGTGCAGCCTAATGTCACATGCTGATTTGCAGCTGATGACAGCCACAAGAATAAAAAGGAGGGAAACAAAGATTATACAGACATGTAGTTAATCTGTGGGGACTCATCTGACGAGAGGAGGCTCAGAGTTGAACAAAGAGCTCATTCAGACACCTGTTCTCCCTCAGAGCAAGAGGGGATGAAGGCAGAGCATGGCTGAGCAGCTGATCGATATGATCAGGTCAGAGGAACACAGTGATGTGCGACGTTCAACAAGTATCTTGACACACAAATCAATAAAAACCACTGATATTATCATAACGGGCAGCTCCTGTGAAATGGAAATGGCATTCGGTGAATTAATTGGTTAACAAAAAAATAAATAAAATAAAATAAAAACTACAGGAAGTAACCATGGATGATCTGGATCTTCAAAGTGCCGCCGCAGGTTCAACAACAAGGCCAAGTCAAGTGCGCGCGACCCCATTAACACAAATACCGTTAGAGCCGCAGCCCAAAGAAACAAGGACACGATTCTCACCTGGTTTATCTCCTCCAGTCTTTGCCTTTGCTGCTCCTTCAACAACCCGAAGGCTTTCCCACCTAAACAGAAAAGGATAAAATGAGGTTATTCCAATATAAACAAAATAAATATCGACAAAGCCAGGCGGCCTCAGATGCTCTATTGTAAAGACCGAAGCCTGAGACAAAAGGCGCAGTCTTATCGTGTTTTGTTACCTTGTGCATTTTGACCGGAAGGCATCCTGGAAATTATCTGTGGGGTTTAAAATCCAGAAAAAAAGGCAAGAGAGGCGAAACTATCCAAAGCAAACCGCTGCCGCTACTGTACGCCAGGGTATTACTCCTATTTAAACTAGGTTTAACTGGTTGCTCCGCACCTGCGTCAATTACCACGTGATCGCTAGAGAAACATCCGGTGACGCTTTTCAAAATAAACTCGCGGGTGAGCGTCACGTTTTGGATTATTGATTTAGGCTGACTGGTGACTCTGAATTGGCCCTAGGTGTGAGTAAGAGTTCAAACCCCGGTCCAGGGGCCTTTCTGGGTGGAGTTTGCATGTTCTCTCCGTGCATGCGTGGGTTTTCTCCGGGTGCTCCGGTTTTCTCCCACAGACCAAAAACATGCATGTTAGGCTGATTGGTAACTCTAAATTGTCCCTAGGTGTGAGTGAGAGAGTGAATGGTTGTTTGTCTCGTTTGTCTCTGTGTGTCCCTGTGATGGACTTGCGACCCGTCCAGGGTATACCCCGCCTCTCGGACAGTGATGGCTGGACATGGGCACCATGACTCCCCCAACTCAAAATGGAAAAAGCGGGTAAAGATAATGAATGGATGGATTTTCAAATAGTGTCAATAACCTTGTCGTCCTCCACTTCACCCCCCCCCCCCCCACACACACACGTGTCAATATATTTATGGGCTTCAAATATGTCTTAATTTGCAATCACTTGTGTGGCTTTGTGCCAAAAGTGCCTTAGTATTCTATTCTTTGTTTCTAAATAATGCCAGAATGCCCAAAGGGGTTCACATTCATGAAATTTAGACTCATTTCATTTAAGCCCAGGGGCACCATCAAAGAGTGTCAGAGGGAGAAATGCCCACCCCTATTTCATATCACTTCCCACTCCTGTCTCTCTCCTGGACAGATGATCCCATTGCCCTGAGTACTGAGCTTTTGCTTCGTGTGGATTCTTATTTTTTTCTAACTACCTGGGATAAGTAGACCCTTGTACATATGAGGAGGAAGCACTGTTTTTGAACAATCAGTGGGTGATTTTTTTTTTAAAGTATCCTTTAAAAAGGACAACAGGTTTAAGCTGAACAAAGCAAAATACAATATTGTGGTGCAAAAAAAACAACAAAAAAACAATGTCTTCATATCAGACTCTAAGGCCTCAGGAAGTCATATTTATTAATTAAAGTTAAGAAAGAAGAGGACTTAATTGAATGACAGCCCACTAGTAAAATCAGGTTTTAAACAAAAACAACAAAATTCTAAATTCTTCCTGTATCAGATGATTCCCAAAAGCCTTCATTGTATTATTTAAACTACTGTAGTAATGGCCTATTTATGGCAACAGCATAATAAAACTTCAGAAATTCTATTATTCTGGTGTGATGAAGATTATATGCGGCCCCCATCTGGCCACCCGTTAGAATTCTTTCTGGATACGCCCCTGTGATTTTCGATTAGAAATATCACTGATAAAATAGCTCATTAGGGATATTTTCTGAACTTTTATTTTGAAAACATCCATCCATCCATCAACTCTACTCGCTTCTCGTTTCCGGGTCGCGGGAGCTGGTTGCGTGCATTTCCAGCAGACCAGTGTATGAGAGGTGGGGGACGCTCTGGACTGGACACAAGTCCTTTGCAAGGACACATAGAGACAAACGAGACTCAAATCTGGGGACAATTTACGGTTACCAGTTAATATAGCATGCATGTTGTAGGTCTGAGAGGAAACTGGAGTAGGACATGTGCTCGCGCTCCCCATCGTGTGGAGTTGGACAAAAACTGCACGAGTCCAGGATGTGACGTTTTTACAGAGGCACAGGAGACCAAATACATCCATTGTAACAACTACCGTCCACGCTACGTCAAGGCTTCATTACACTAATTCCAAAGCCACAAAAAGATTTATTAGTTTTAGACAACTGGCGCCTATCACATTGTTAAATAATGATCATAAAATTTCAGCATTATGCTTAGGCAATAAATTGAAAGAAGGACATCATGATGCTATTGGGGAATCTCAAAATGGTTTTATGGCTGGAAGATACATAATTGATAATATAAGACTTATTTTAGACAATATATATATATCCATTGTAAAAAAATAATAAAAAAAGACAAAGAAAACACATTTGTCTGCAATTAAAATGTTTGTCTCACGCTGGTAAACAATTTGACATGATTCAAAATTGCTGGTGTTAGGATTTTGCATGTTGGGGATGACATTAAATTTTATCAATATACATTTTATGTAATTTTATAATTGAAACTGAATTATAATTTTAACACCTCAGATGAGTTTATTGACGTTGTGTATCATATTTGGTGAGTTATTTAATTATTAGTCAATTGGTGTTGGAATGTGTTGTGTGTTTTTTGTTGTTGTTGTGAAAAGGCAACTTTATTTTCATGTAAAGTGAAATTTTATGTGTAAAACCCATCCATCCATCCATCCATCCATCCATCCATCCATCCATCCATCCATACAACCATCCATCTGCTGCTTGTTATGGAATCAGATGGCACGGGCAACATCTCTAAGAGGGAGTCCTTTTGGAGAAAGCTAATTTTGTTCACTTGTATTCAATATCTCATTCTTTTGGTCACTACCCAGACTTTGTGCCCACAGGTGTGGATAAGAATGTGGACGACCAATAAGCAGAGAGGTTTGCTTCAGCTCATCTCCCCCTTCACCACAATGAATCAGCACAGTATACACAAGACTACAGAAGCAGAACCGATCTCTCTGTCAATCCCAAGCCCTATTCTTCCCTCAATTGTGAACACCCAGGAACAGTCAAAGCCTTGAGGGACTCGGGGCTTATCTCGTCCACCCCAGAGCCCTGCTGTTGCAGAGCGTTTCAGTCCCAGTTATGGACAAGCCTACCCTACAGTCTCCAGACTCAGCTTCCCCCATGGGAGATGTATTGGGTGAATTGAGAAGGTCTGCGAAGTATTCCTTCCACCGTTTGATGGTATAACTGACGTCAACAACACCTCACCTTCACTATACAGTACACTGTTTTGGTAAGGCTCTGCATCTCCCGTCTCAGCTTTCAGACGGTTTGCCAGAATCTTCTTTGAGCCTATTAAGAGTCTCTCCAAGACCTCACCTCCCATACCCGAGACTTTGCTTCATCAACAGCCAGGGCTGCAACTTGCTTGGCCTGCTCATACCCCTTAGTTGAGGCCTCCCTCACCCAGGGTGTCCACCACCAGGTTTGAGGATGGCTGCTAAGACAGGCACCAATAACCTTGTGGCCAAAGCCAAAGTTAGCCGCTTCAACAAAGATGGTCTGGAACATGCAGAGTTACACAATACACCATACCATTTTATTTATAGAGCACGTAAAACAGCAACAAGGCCAACCAAAGTACCAACCAAAGTGCTGTACAGCAGAAACAAACAAGTAAAGCACACAGTAAAATACACATAGATCCAAATGGAAAAAGATAATTTTATTGTTAATTTTATTAACAATTTATTTATTTATTTATTATTTATTAATTTTAATTTTATTGTTGGATGTAACTGGGACCCCGTGTACATAATTTCGCTCCACCACATGTACCACATGAGGTGCGAATGACAATAAAGAAACTCTGACTCTGACTCTGACAATAACAAATGGCCAACACTGCAGAATACAGACAGGGTCAAAACAAATCACACAGTGTCAAAAGCCAGGGAATAGAAGTGGGTTTTTAAGCAAGACTTAAAAACTGTGAGGGAGGGGTCCTGCCTGAGATGCAGTGGTCTTGGACCTGCAACAGAGAAGGCCCTGCCACCTTTGAGCTTAAGACAAGTTCCTGGAACCAATAGAAGCATCTGATCTGCTGACCTCAGAGATCGCTGTGGGACATATGGCTGCAGCAGATCAGCGAGATAAGAGGGGGCAGAACTGTTAAGAAATTTAAAAACATAAAGGAGTATTTTGAACTGAATTTGAAAGTGAACCGGGAGCCAGTGCAGGGAGGCCAAAACTGGAGAAATGTGCTCTCTTTGGCCTGTACCAGTTAAAAATCAGGCTGCAGCATTTTGGACCAGTTGTAAACGTGCAATGAAGGTCTGACTGATTCCAAACAGTTAGCGCATTGCGGTAATTGAGCCTGGATGTTATGAACGCATGTATCTCAAGGTTATTCTTGGACAGTATGGGCTTCAGTTTAGAAGGTCGCCTCAACTGAAAAAAAAAAAAATACACAGAAGGAAGTTCATTAAAATTCATCACAGTCATCTAATTGTACTTCATTAAATCCACTTGGCTCGTGAAGTTGAGGTGGACATATCTCTAGATATTTTACTGTTCATTACCTGAAAAACATCACCAGGAAGTAGAAGAACTCGAGGAGGGCTAATCTAATGAGACTAGGATATAAAAAAAAATATATATATATAATAATAAAAAACAAACAAATCACAAGTAACTTTGCACATGTTGTACTGTATTACCAAATATGGCAGTGCCTTTTGCAATAAAATAAACAAGTATTACAATCATGGTAAAGTAATTTAATGCAGGGTTAATTTGCCGCATTGCTAAACAACAACAACAACAAAATCTTAACCTTGAAATCGTTGTCAAGCGCATCCAATCTTGTGGATCTTTAATGAATGGGTCAGTGGGTCTTTCCTTCCCAGGTTTAAGTTACAAGTGTTTGTAGAACTAAATATAGATATCATGAAAGCCTTTTATTCTGTATCTGTGGGCCATTCTGTCATAAAAGACCTTTTCAAATAAGCTGCTAATTCACGGTTTTAGGGCATACTTGTTATTTCAAAGGTGAATCGTTTTGAGGTGGCCTCACTTCCACCATATTCATTTGGTGGAAGTAGTTTGAGAATAATAATTTAAAACTAATGTTACCCCTCGCCAACAGGAATATCATTTCTGTCATTGCTTGAATGGATTTGCATCAGTGAATATACACACACACACATGAAACAGCCCTCTGCAGGCAGGGCCTTGATGAAAACTCTACATTATTTCTTTGGTGGTGAAACTAAAGTACAGTTACAAGCAAAGACCTTCATACGGTAAAGCTTTAAAAACACTCTGAAACCTCAAACAATCAGCGGCTCAGCGCTTCAGAAATCAAAACCTATGCTGTGATACAGAAAAAGTCCATAAGAGTGTTTACAGGTGGCTGCT